AGAGAGAGAGAGAGAGAGAGAGAGAGAGAGAGAGAGAGAGGGGAGGTTTAGTTCACAACCCTAAAATGGTAATAGTAATTTTAGAAGCAGAAAGGAAAAGGACCATAGACGCTTGTTTTAAATTTGAGAAAAAATGCTATGCGCGAGTAGAGGTCTCAGTCTAACTGTTAAAAAAAGCTAAAGAAATTAAATGTGGTTGGTAGGATTAAACAATAGCACATACACGCAATTTCAAATATTCTGGAACCCCAATGGTAGCCCAGTGACCCATTAATTAACGAATGTCAATCATTGTTTCAATCTGTTCTGTCAGGTGTGCTGTAAGCCCTCGGAGTAACGGCTTATCTGCTGGGACGACACAGGTTTCTCTGCCCAGGGAAGAATCATTCGCAAGAAGAAACGGGCGCCAGGTGACAACTATCAGTCAATACTGCGTACAGCTGGGTTTGCGTTACAACCACGTGCATTCACACAGCAATAGAAAAGCATAACGACTTAACACACTTAGGCCCTCTGCACTTTTGACACGGAGACAAAACTACGCTTTGGAAATTTGTTTCACGAAATTCGGAACTTCATTAGAAATGTGTATTTTTATGATGGCAGGAGGAGGATATTTTCATGGGGAAGAAGTGGGACTTCGATTGTTTATTTCGAGGATTATTCACTGTGGTGCCTTTGTGGTGCTGGTAATATATGCACGGAGTTATATGCCTTCGTTTCAAAGTGTAGATTCATATCTACAGAAAACATGTCCTGTGGAAGCTGAAATTGAAACAAGTTGCTCTGGCCTGGCCTCACTGTCAACTTTTTCGCGGAAACAGCAGGCATGCTTCATAAGGGTATCAGGCAGTGTGGGTTAGTATAGGAGTTTAGCTTTGATCCTAATAATATGGTCGTTTAACCCAGATATCAAGTACTACTCTAGATTCTAGTTCAACTTGATCTTCTTAAAAACCGAACCTCTGTTTTCAATGAAAAGTTGCATTTGCATATTGCAGCGGCGGTCGACATCTCATTTTTAAGTTAGTGAATTACATGTACACACTGGCAAAGACAGGTGTCGTAGCCTGCAGAAATTGTCCACTTATGTCCGTTCCTTCCATCCAGTGAAGTAGGTCTTTATTTTTATGACGTGAACGACACCGGTACTGCGGTAGCTAGAAGCCATAGAAATAACTGTATCTCCTACAGTGTATCTGTGCACACTGTATACGATTCCTACTCACAGTATTTATCATCACGATGCCTCAAGCAACGGCACTCAACTTCTACCGGAAGCGCCAAACGTTCGAACTTTTGTCCCAGGAAAGGCCACAAAACCTGAGTTCTGTGTACCACGTGGTACGGGAGGTTGTGGCGTCCATTGAAGAACGTTTGGTCAATTTGGAGACCTCTTTTTACGGACCTGGCGGGGGACCAGACACGGAAGTCAAACAGTGGATTGTGCCGCTACAACTGGTGAGAAGAGCGTGTTTGTACCAGTACCATACAATGCATGTGTATATGTGTGTATATGTATATACACATTTCTATGAATATACGTTTGTGTGTGTGTAGGGGGG